TGTTTGGGTATAAGGTTTGGGAGACTACCTTCCTTACTGTACACCCTAAACTATAGACCCCTTATTGATAAAATCATAAAAGAATTGGACACATGGACATCCCTTCCCCTCTCGCTATTTGGTAGGAGCCATGTCATCAAAATGATGAGCTTCCCTAAATTGCTCTACCCCCTCCAAACTATTCCATTATTGTTAAAGCATACCGACATTCGCATCCTAGACCAAGCATTTACCAAGTTCCTATGGAAATCTAAACGCCCTCGTATTTCATACCGCCAGCTGCAAATTCATAAACTGGAAGGTGGGCTAGGACTCCCTAACATTCGGGCTTACAATCTAGCTTGCCTCCTAAGACATGCATATGATTGGCTTCTGGGCACCTCATGTTACTCCAATCATGACCTAGAAGCCGAAATGGCATCCCCCTGGTCGTTGGTGGGCCTGTTACATACCCGTGTAAATAGACTGCCATCCTCCCTAAAAACGAACACTCTGATTAGGGACACGGTGGTTGCGTGGAGGGAATACAGGTTGAAGGCGGGGTTGCACCCATATGTATCACAGCATGTACCCATACGACATAATCCACACTTTCCACAGGGCATGGAAAACAAAGTATTTGCCACATGGGAAGCCACGGGTCTACAAAGGGTGATTCAACTATTTGACCCAGAGACACATCGACCCCTGTCATTACAAGAATTGAGAGAGAAGTTCAACTTACCGCCCCACCACTATTTTCAACATATCCAAGTGACCCACTATTGGCGCAGCGAGACCACGCTATCCGGCACTTTCTTTCATACGACGGAATTGGATAAGGCGTCATCCTCGGCCCCGGACTCAATATCTAAATTGTGTCCCCTTTTGAACTCTTATTTCATCCCTAAGCCAGCTAGGACCTCCCTCTTTAAATGGAGGAGGGACTTCCCCCTAGAAGACTTTGAGAATGCTATACTGGAAGGAGAAGACTTCCATCATCATGAAATGTTTATCATTTGATAGAAGTTTATATTTTTCATGTGAAGCTCACATTTTTAAAGCTTGCATTTCCATAGTTTTATGATGCAGATTGCAGTCACTCTCTATAGGGCTATCTGCATGTCTAACAGCATTAATCAGAATGCTTACTGCATTAATACTGAAACACATAAGCCCAGACATTGTATTATTTTCAATCAGTCTATGCAGCCTGATCTATTTGCACTGAGATCAAAAAGGAATTGTAATGCACAATCACTGTGAAGCACTAGTAAGTGCTGTGTGTATATATGTAACAAGCTAAAACAACTAACCAGTGCACATATAATATGAAAAACTACAAACAGAATAAATGTGTTTAACTAAAAAAAGCATAAACACAGTTATTTAAATGTTCATAACTGATGTCAATCCCCCAAGATACCCCAAATCCATGTGACTATTTTGATGTTAACAAAAATATTCTACAGGGGACCAGCTGGGAAAACTACATTAATGGATTACCAGTACCCCGCATCTGGAAACGGTGCCTACAAGGGACCTGGATGGTGAACTTAGGGAAGTAAAAGAAAACTTTACAAGTTATTTAACTTTTCTGTATTTCTTGTAGAGTAACTAATTATTAAAAGAAACTTCTAGTAAGGAGGCTGCCATTTTGAGGTTTACTTCTGAAAATATTAACACCCAGGCTGCTATGTGGATTAAGTGGTTTCAGTACTATATCGTGTGGATGCAGTATGAGATCTGACTTCAGTTTTTTTAATCTGCATGCTCATTCCAGGTTAGTGTTTCAACACACTAAGACAACCAGGTGTTTAGTCTACAAATTTGTGTTGTGAAAATATAGTCTATCATGGGAGCGAGCTTGGAGTGGTGGCTGAATTCAGAGATCATTTGAGGATCTATAGCCGAGTGATGCACAAATAAGATACATTTTTTGTTAATAGTTAAGATACTTTAATTCATTTTTGAGATTTAACTCCTGAGTTTAGTGTCACTTTAAGAACTCTGGGCATAGCCCCAATTATTGGCCATTCTAACCTTTCTGACCACAGTAGCCAGGCATGGCAATATTGGTCCTTTTAAAATTAAAAAGGTGTAGCAGGAACACAACATTGTATCACTTGAAAATAGCAAAACATCTTTGCATATTACAATGGCTCATCCTATTAACATGCCTTTTCAGGTCATAATGAATTGAAACATTCTATTAATCTTCCATTTGTGATTAGAAAAAATTGCATCATCCTATTGATCTTCCATTGTGCTCTCTGGAGTATTTACAGTCTGTTGATCTGCTGCCCTTGCTATAAGGATGTCGCCATATTCACTGGCAGACAGCCTTTGTTTTGTGTATCATTGCATTACTTTGAATGTGCTACAGAAGATAATGAAAATATCACATTGCATACAAATAATAAGTGAAGAAAAAACAGGACTCGTTAAATTGCTTTGTTTGGGGTACATTTGCAGTTACAGCTCTCAAACACGTACAAAATGCAAAAACAGAGACATTGCTTTTTAAGAATTTTTTTTTTTTTGTAAAAACAAACACATTGGCTACATCTGTCAGTTGTTGAGTGATGCATTTTTCATTGTTACAAGCAAATTAAAATTCATACGGATGCTCTCTAGTATCTTTACTCATCTGTTGACCCAATGCTTTCTAAAGTGCCTCAGGCAAGGAAACGGTAAGGCAAGCAAATAAAACATCTTCAAACAATGTTACTGAAAACAAATGTTTTATATTTCCATTATTCTAAAGCTTTATGCATTTTAATATACCTTGACTTATTTTTTACAGATATTTTAATATACAGTTGCTTTAATATAAGTTACTGATATGAAAAGTCAGGGTGAAATTTCTGGAAGGTACGCAATAGCTGCACACTACTCCAGTCCTTTTTCGTTCATTCAGTAAACTGAACTGTTCGTGGAGGATGACATCTCCCACCAGACTCCTATCCTTCTCCTGTAACGCATTTAACACCATTAGGGGCTTAATCATAGAGGTAGATCGGAGTCTCACAAGAGGTGTCATCCTCGACCATAGGCGTCGCTACAGGGGGGCAAGGGGGGGGGGGGCAATTGCCCCCCCTAGGTTATTCCTTGCCCCCCCCCTTTCACTTCGGCAGGACAGATCGCCGCACCCTGCGTTACACGCACCCCTGACCGCCGCACTATGCGTTGCACGCACCCCTGGCCGCACCCTGCGGTGCACGCATCCCTGACCAGCGCATTCTGCGTTACAACAGACCTCCACACTCTGCATTACATTACTGGTGGTATTATTCTGCATTGCTGTATAATGTATTGCTGGGATTTGTAGTTCCTCTACAGTTGACAGGAGTCAGTACCAGAACTACCAGGGTCGCAGCAATTGCACAGCAGTGATGAGGGATCCCTCCGCCACAGTGTGCTGTACTTTTCCTTGACCAATAAAATTATTAGTGCTCCCCCAGTTTTGACTGTGGTATCTTATGTGCCCCCCCTATATATTGTTCCTAGAGTCGCCACTGAGGACTCAGCAGTGTGTAGCTATTGTACACCTTGGAGATTCTGGGGAGCAGACCAACCCTACTTGGCCTTAGCACCTGGTGGTGGGAACATGTAGCCAGAAGTCTGCCTTGAATGGTATAAAAAAAATTATTCAAACCCCAGCTCAAAATCTAACCATCTGGCCATAGATCAGTGTACATTTTTATTTAGTACAACAAAGGCTTCAGGAAGCTCTACGTTGAGGACTGGCATATGTTTTTGTGTGGGGAGCTTTTTGAGGAGTCCCATTTACAATGAAGGTCAGCAGACACCTTCCTAGCTACAAAAGTCCTATAAGTAGGCTTCGGTTTAGGGTGCAATATGGGGCTATCAAGAAAGATGAAAAATTACTAATGACAAAAATGTGTATCATGTATCCAATAAGAGTATCCAAATAACAGTTTTGCCTTTCCAACTGGCTACTGAACTTTTCTTCTTGAACTGCTAAATGTTGATCTTTATACTGTTTATCCAGGTGGACAGAGCAGTCTCCATCAACTATCCATCTACTAGCTTGGAGAAGAAGGGAATTAAGTAGGAGGAAGTAGGATATTAGGAGGAGGGAGCAGGGGAGTGGTTTGCCTTGCTGTGCCTATGTGTTTGTGGAGACACACACAGATTACTAGCACACACAAGGGTGGCTTCATAGGACCCTGCAAGGGACAGGAGCTACCCTAAAACAGAATATCAGGGCCAGCACTCAGTGGACCAGCTGATTCTGCAGAAAGCAAAAACTTTTAAACATCAAGGAACAGGATCCATTGTAAGTGATTTAATCAGCATTTGAAATAGCTTAAAAGCCTTTTGACTTTAATATCACTTTAACTTCCACACTGTTGCCTATTATTTCCCATGAGAAACATGTAAACACTTTAAACTGTAGATATACCTAGATTTCCCTTGATGTATCTATCACAAGGCTATATAATCTCATGATTTCTAATTTTTTTGTACAAATTATGTATACATTAATGACTTTTTTTGTTATCAACTTACCTTATTACCTACCTGTATTTTTCCTGTTTACCTTAGAAAGAGGGACAGTAGAAGGTATACAGTGTGTAGCTACCAACCAATCTATTAATTAATTTATGACATTTATAACGGCCAAAAAAATAGGCCATTACTAAAGGTCATTACTAAATAAATCCTATGGGTTAATCTAGTTTTCCCACCAGTATTTGCTACAGGCAGTGTAAGGATAAAACTAAGAAAAATACAGAGTATAAAATGGGTTTGGCAGTACCACAGGAAGATGACAAACTACAGCTTTTCTACTGGCTTTAGTAGAACAGCTCTTTATAATTATTACAAAGGTGCCATTATTAGATCTTTCAAAAGTAGACAAAGCTAGGAGAAATCTTTATTTTTCCATATTATACTTCCTTTGCTCAGGTGCTCATTCATAGTGATTACCCCCGCATAAATCCTAAAAAAAAAGGATCTTCATTGTCTGTAATACAGTGGGGACAAAGAGTTACCTTTAACTCTGCAATCTGCGATGTCACGTGCCACATGAGGTTCTCGCTGAGGAATTTCATCCCATATGGACCGAGCAGCTCAGCCAAAGCTTTCATTTCTACAGATGCAATGGTAAAAAGAATATTTCCCTTGTAAATGGCAAATTCCATGCACACAGTTAGTAAAACCTGGTTTAAATTCTTGAGTTAAAGCAGAACTATTTTTTTAATGCACACACTTTGAAATTTAAAGTTAAAATAGTGAATGCATGCACACATGTAAAACTGCGTCTTGTATCTTCCTCAATGGAACTTCCCGCTGCTGAGCAGGCACAGTGCAGAACCTTTAGTTCTGCTTTAACACATAAAAGTTAGATAACTTCTACCTGTTTAGTTTGCTTTTTGTAAACCTTTTATCCGGCATGGATTTATAATCACAGCAGAATAAAGTATACATGAACCTGTCATATAGTATATAGCCACTGACCTGTGATAAGTGTGCTGAGCAAGAATTCCAACTCCATTAGCTGCTGAATAGTTTATGTGCAATTTGTATAATACTTCTAGCCCCTATGTCTCTATCATTAAGTTCCTCTAGGGGGCAAAACACATCAGCGGAAGCAGTGGGTTGGAGTGTCAAGGGTTCACGCTGGCACCTGAACATTGCCTTTGTTTTTAGCCTGGAGAAGAACCGAGTGTGGCCTTCCATGTCCTATGTTCATCAGCTGCATATTAATTCAGGGTCAGGGACTCACTAAGTAGTGAACCCAGACCAACATGGAAGCCAGACAACTCGTATTTTCAGGTCAGAGATGGCAACATAGCCATTTCTCTTGACATGGTTTCACTTTAGTTAAGATAAATTTAAAGTAATGTAATGTAATGTGAAAAACAAAAATCTTTTGTGGAGAGAATATGATTGGTTAAGACATCTTCCCTGTCGGCTTTTTTTTCTTCTGATTTTATTGCTGAGATTTCCCACAACACGAAGAGAAAAATATCTCAAAAGGGGCATCATCTCTCTCAGAAAGTTGTCACCAAAATTAGTGTAATTATTGGAATTCTTACAGTCTATTTCTATTCCAGTGACAACTCAAATTTTGGAATTCCCAAGCCTTTCAGTCCCAAAGGTCATCATACCTATTAGATTGGGGGAATTGCCTCAGCGGAGACAAAAAAAAAAACAGAGGTTCTAACCATTTCCCACTCTATACAAAACTAAAAAACAATTGGGGTTTACATAAACTTTATATTTATATACACTATATTAAGGGTTTAACATGAAACATGGTCACATTCCACAACCTCCCACCCTCAAAATGCCCCTGCCCCACTTACTAGAATTGTGGGGTGCTTCTCACTGCAGGCTGTTTTCATTTGAATTTGTGCCTCCAATTGCACAGCCATTTTATCCATTCACAGATCATTTCACTGAATCTGTGAAGAGAAAAACTAAAAGTCCCATCTGCTACCGTGGCTGAGGGACTCAAAAATCTCACAAGAGGGTAAGTGCAGTGACATAACAACACTTATAGTCCATTTATTACTTCCAGCCCCATAACAAAGTTCCTACCTCCGTATGGACCTGGGGCTGCAGGAACAGTGTGCAGGAGCCTGTGCATTGCACCCATGATCTACTGATCAGTTCTATAATAGTGTTCTTGGGGCTCAATTACATTACATGGCTTGTATTTCCACATGTCACCCGGACTCAAAATCAAAAAACTGCAGTACTGATCCCTATTAAAAAAAGAGAAACCGTACCTGACCAGAGGAAAGGAGCAGCAATGGGGGCGTGTATCTATTTGCAGTATATGTGCTATTTCACGATCCTTCTGTCTGTCTTCATGCTTCACTAGATAAACATTTAGCTATTGCAGTTTACAAGGCAATGACTACTTGGCCAAATATTCTATTAAGGTACCGCGCTTTGTATAATGGTTTTACAGAAGATCAAGATTAAAACAAGGAGACACAGCAAAAGCAAGACAATTAAATCAAAGCAAATGCATTTTCCTTTAGAACTCACTATATTGTGACAGCTGTAATGAGTATTTGTATTCAAGGTCAATAAAAAGCCATGGCGCTAATGGTAAAAGGGGGAGACTACTATATTTACTCAAATCTGAGCGGCAAAGAAGGGCATTGCCAGAAACTGTCATTTGAGGTTATTTTTCTGTGAAATTGAATACTGTTCAAATTGGAATCATTTAATATTTTTAAACAAAGGTTCTGCCATCACTGTTGAAATAACAATCTCAATTATCTGCCTCCTATCTGAGCCAAACATTTTGTGATAGTGTCAGAAGGTCTCTATAAAGTCTTGTGGAAAATGTATGAAAAATATTGATTTGTAGGATTAAGTAGCTTTAGGACAGGAGTGATATATATATAAGTTGGTGGTGAATCATAAAGTCCCAATGTCACCTATAAACAAAAGGTTAATTCTCTTGGGATGTGATGTTGAAATGGTTAGGTGTTGATATTAAGAGTTAAGTTCTAATTAGGCTGCCAACAGACATCAGAGGGCAGTCAGGTTTGCTGTCATGATCCACTTATCATCAGGGAAGCAAATCTATTGAGTGCACCTTGAAACCTTGAAAGTTTTGTCAATGGAGAAGAAACAAGATGAATGGTGCGGGAGGTGGGAAGTAGCACTCAGGACAGGTTTTCCAATATGCCTGACCAGTTTCAAAATCCCAAACAATGGCCAAGGACCCAATCCAGAACTGGCATTGTTCTCTGTGGAGAAAACAAATAGAAGCCAGCAACATGCATTGTACTCTGTAAAGATCACACAGATCTCATTATGCTTTGTTCAGTATATCCAGGATATCCAGGTAAAGAGTAGGTATGGGCCCTTTCTGTTATGAGTGGTAAATGTGGGCTTCCATTAACAAATCCAATCACCAGGAACTCCCACTGCCATGCCAGTGCGTTTTGGAGAGGCATATTCCCCACCAGACAGGTATACATCAGGTATAGCAGGAAATGCCCCTACCGCAACTGCCGCCATGGATTGGGTTGGAAGGAAGGGGTGGCAGTCAGATTTTAGAGTGGGCTTGGCGAACTCATGTGAACTGAATCCCAGCCTCATCTCTGGTCTACATTACTGAGCCGTAACACTCAGATTTCCCTAACTAATGCCAGGCAGATGGGCAAAACCACAATAAAATACAGAATTGTCAGGCAGAAGAATAAAATATAGACAAGCAGCAGGGAAGGTAGAAGGTCATCCCCAGACAGAAACACAGGTCCAAATTCTTCAGGAAATGTTTTATGGCCCTATCCTCTGAGATTAAATATTCTATGTTGACATTTTTACGATAATGTTAAGTTCTGAAGTGCCATAATCTTTTTCTGAAATGAAATAGGTGCTGCCCTCAGCAGACATAATATAGCCTCTCAGTTAAGCCCACTATCACAGTTCAGATGCAGACTTGCAACTGAGATGTTACTTGTTGTTCTACAATTGTATACAGACCTCTTACCCCTGGTTGTGCAGGCATGCAGGGTTGTGCTGTTGCTTGTAGTTCTCCAGGCATGTGCTCTGTACCTGACTCAATCTTGCACCAGTCTGGCAGCTTTAGGCATCAGCCGACGCCTCCTGCTGTTTCTTATGCAGCTTCTATGCCAATCAGTGCAGTCTGCTTGTGACCAATCCTTTGGATCCTCCCTCTTCCTGTCTCTATTTAAACGCAAGGCAGCGCACGGCACGCTGCCCGAGAAATGCTTTCTCAAGCTAGATGCCGAGCCCCCTGGTTGCCATTGAACCAGAATTCCTTGGAGTTACCTGTGTACTAAACTTTGACTTGTTCCTTGAAATCCCAGTCTTCAGTCTGTTTCTATCCTTTGGATTTATCACACAGGTAAAATAAAGTTGTTTATTTAAAGGAACATAAATAAACATTCATCAGGGAGCAGCGAGGTCAGGAACAAGCCGGTCAAGTCCAATGCGGGTACATCTGCCGAGCCGGAATCACGTCCAAAGCGGGTAGTCGTCCAAGCCAGGGTCAAGTCCAAAGCGGGTACGTCTGCTGATGTGGGGTCGAGAGCCAGCGGAAACGTCAGCCGGACCGAATCATACACAGAAACACACAAAGGAACTCAGATCGCCAGAGATGCACCTTGGAGCACAAACGCAAGGGCAATGAACCTGAATCCTGAGCAGACTGATATAGTCAGGTGTTGCCACATCATCACTGTGCAACGCCCAGGCAGCAGGCAAGCGATGATGCAATCAGAGGATATAAAAGAAACTGCAGTCTGCACATGTCCAAAATGGCTGCCACCATGAGGACAAGGTAAGACCTTGACAAGATTGTCCCTGGCAGGCCTGGTCATCTCTCCTGTTCTGTCCAGAACTCTGGCCTTGTCTACCATTCCTGGCTGTTAGGTGAGTTGGGTGAACCTAGGGATTGTGACCTGGAGTCAGCATGAAGTCAAGTCCATCTCCACCATCAGGAGCTCTGGCCCACACCGGCTGGCCCTTAGATTCCACCTCCTGGAGGACCCCATGACATCTACCTAGCATTGCAGCACCCTGCCTAGTACCTTGAACTACTAACCTATTCGCTCTTCCACTGCCCCATTCAGTTCCCCTGCTCTGTTCCCTGCTTGTACTCCAGTTCTGGGAGTCATCAGCCTACACTGCTTGCACCCTTTTCTCTAAGTGTCCCTGCCCATATAGTAGAAAGGGTCCACAGACCTGATTCCAGTTTATACCCGTGAGCTTCGATCCGTGACACCCTTTCATATGAGTTTGACATGCCTGATCTAAATTCTACAGCAATATGGTAAACCTAAAAAAAGCAATTTAAGTGACACTTAACTCAGGAGTTAAATCTTAAAAATGCATTTGAGTACCTTAACTGTTAACAATACTGGACCTTATTTGTGTATCACTTGGCTGTAGATCCTCAAATCATTTCTGTATTGGTGCCGACACTGTCCTTGCTTTTGGAGGGTGACTACTTTTCTTCCCCATGGTTCTTGTGTGTCTTGTAGAGTAGCCACCTCTCCAAGCTTGCTCCCGTGATGGACTACAATCTTAGTACAAATTAATAAATTAAACGTGAGATTGTAATCCATCACAGGAGCGAGTTTGGAGCGGTGACTA